ACCGGCCCTGAAACCCAAATTTCAGTTGTCTACCCTAATACCCACCTTCCACGTCCTCTCTTCACTGCACTGGTGGTCATGGTCGCGCCTCCTTCAACTGCCAAGAACGAATACACTTAAATTCTTCTTCTTGCTCATTCAATAAGCCCAGAAAAGGCGTGGGTTCCTCTAGCTACAAAATTCATCAATTTTGCCTCCGATTTTGGTATTTTATTCTCTCTTTTATTCTTTTATTTTTTTTCTTTTTTTCTTTTTTATGTCAGTCTCCTCTTTTACTTTGTTAATCTATTGCTTTTTGCACATTCCAAATCCCTTTATCATTGGATTTTTTATTTTTGGCTTAATTATTTTGTTGATCTTTTTCTTTTAATTGTTTATTAGCAATTGTTCCCCTTAAATTCACTGATGCTAGGACTAAGGACTAGAAGTTAACAACTATTATTATTTTTATATTGTATGTACAACTGTTCGGTAAGAACCTGATAGAAATTTTAAGAATCTGCGGCTGTAATTGTTGGGGATGTACATTCATGCTTTATGATGACTTTTACATGACAGTAAAGTATAACTTGCATCTAACTAATATTTTTAATGCAATGGTTGCAGGTGGTTTTGAAACAGGTTTCTAGGCCATTTGGGCAAATGATCACATAATTGGAGTTTACAGTAAAGATCTAAGTCTATTAGCTTTCAGGTATAAAATGCATAAGAAATTCTGTGAATGTTTTCTTCGTGTGTAGTTTAGGAAAATCCAATGCAATTTAAGTAAGTCCATGAAAGTGTGAAAAAAGTGAAGTCAATTAATTGATTTTTAAGAAACTAGTGAGAAGATTCTTCGAAAAAAAAAAAAAACAGAAAGAAAGAAAGAAAAGAAATCAGTTAGATGACAGTGTGCCACACTAAAAAAAGCTAAAAAAAAAAAAAGGGAAAAAGGATGAGTTCCAACATTCTACCTCTTCTTGAACATGTATTTCTGTGTAACATATCTCAAAGAGTGCTTTAGCTATAATATTGGTTACTTTTTCTTTTTTAATCTTTATAATGGATATTTTTTAGAAGTAGGTAACGTATAGAAATGATAATAAGAATTTGATTAGATTAAAGATTTATAGGCAGTATAATTAAGTTTTTATACATATTTT